TCTGGGCGCAGAACCCACAAGGCAATTTTCTAGGTTTGAATACAGTGAGCTGCAGGATTGATGCTGATTTATTTTCATTCATTTCCGAATTTTCGACAGTGAAACCGATTCCAACCGTCTTGGGTCCATTTCTTCTCAGTGATTTCGGTATAAATGCTGTCCGGCGTATAATGTTGGGTCTATTCGCGAGGTCTGCGCTCCGGCTGGACATGTCAACATTGAAAGGGGGAGTGGGGCGTGGCGGCTGGAGATTGTAGGAGTTGCTATGGAAGTCTGACCACTAAGCTGGAGACACGGGTTTTTGCTCGAGGAAGGGTTAATTTCATAAGCCCTCTTCGAAAGTATCTGAAACTCGTTCCAACTTACACGGACTAATTTCTGCCTTTGGCGTGGATTCAATGATTTATGGTCAGGTATACTTACAGGGTATGTATATTTTTCCGTTAAGAACAGTTGTCGTCTGTTCTAAGTAATTTGATGTATTAATTTTAGGAAATGGAAAATAAATACCCCGTTATAACGCTGCATCGGTGGAATTTTTTTACCAAGGATGCTACAGCTACGAAAAGGTTAGACTTTTTTAAAAGAGAGAGTGTACAATTTTTTCCTGCTCAGAGTCTCAACTAATACTTAACCTAAATATTCTGTTAATTTTGTATGCATTTCTTAATTTCATGGATGCATATATCGTCTCATAACCTCTTCTGAACTTTTGTTCCATTTTGTTTTCAGATGTGACAGCTATGGATATTTGATTGGTGGTCAGTCCACAGTCAAAAGAAGTTCCTTCGCCTAAGACCTAAAGCACCCCAGACTCACCTGACAAGCAAAGAACGGCGAGCGCAGAGCTTGCAACCCAGCCCAGCTCACTAGATCCGACTTCGAACTCTTTCAGGAGAGCTGGCATGTACACCCCGTGCGTCTGTAGGGAGCCCATTTCGAGGAAGAACGCGAAGAAGGAGGCCGAGACCACGATCCGACCCCAGCGACACGGCCGGGCCAGGCAGGGTTGTCGCTCACTATGACCGTCACTACCAACCTGACTTCCCACGTCCATGATGCCCGCTCAGTGGTCGAAGTCAGTTATATCTAGCACCTCAAGAAATTTCCTGAAACACATACATTAATACATGTCGCAGAAGGTTTAAGGAAACCGTAAAATAACTTATGGGGGGGTTCTTTTCCATCTGGGGGCGTCCATTAAGTACGTACGAACGAAATGCCGAGTTTTCAGACTTCTCCCCGTACACGTAGCGTACGCAGTGGCTCCAACCCCCTCCCCTGTACGCATTCCACATTTCTGTTGACTTCTTAGGGTACCTTACTAGACACAAAACAGTTCCACAACCCATAACCATATACATGTAGATACATAAATTTTTGAAAACCTTTATGTATTAAAAACTGAAAGGTCAAATATGAAAAAAAAATTTGAACATATTATTTAATATTTTTCTCATTTATGTTTTATCATCAATTGCAGAGTGAAAATTTTTCAAATCTAAAGAGGTTTAATAAGCACATGTCAGTCTTTATATACTTGAACAGTTTTGCTTAAAGAAAAGTGTAGATGTGGAAATGGGGTTCTGAAAAAAATTCAATTGACCAGCTTTATGGAAATGGTTGGAAACTAATGTAAAGTTACTAGAGGTAGAAAATTATACTCCAATCATATTTGGCAATAAATAAATCAAATCAAACCCAGCACAACCGTTTTCATGCTTGATCACAAAGCAATGTTTACTAGTACCTATTTCTTGTCCTTTAAGGGAAATTGTATATGTGGAAATGGTATTCTTACAAAAATTCAAAAAATTGCAGAAATTGTAAAAATTGCATCGGTTGCGAAAATTGAAAAGATTGTTTAAACAGCAAAGACTGCGTAAACTGCAAAAATTGTAAACACCTATAGTGGGTGGTGTTGGAATTATAGGAGACTTTGAATTTAAAATCCTTGGGATGCTATAAAGATCACATAAAATTTTATGGGGTCTTTAATTTTTGTAAGGATTAGTAAACCAACAATTAGTAAGACCAAAAGCGACACCAATACATATAGCTAACGCCCCAATAGTCAGAGATGATTTTTCTTCGTTGAGTACTTCTAACAGCGTTAAAATATGATCAATGGCTTTTTGTTTCTTTTTTTATTTTGGGTTCTTCGGATTCAAACTTTAAAGTAGGTTCTTTGGGCTCAAAATCGCTGTCAGGTTGATTGAAATCGGCTTGCAACCCCGTTTTTCATGCCTGAAGTCGCAATTTGCAGGCTGTTGTTGTGACCGTCAAACTTCCCGATTCTGAGATCCATGTCAGAAGGAACTACGTATAAATTATTTTATTTTTTTTTATTTTAAAAAAGATGAAGACACACACTTGTTACTTGACTAAAAACGAGCATACCTTTAATTGCAAGACGTTATCGGTAATTTGACAGTTACAAGTGTATTCGCGTTTAAAAGTAATGTTTCACTCAGGGTATTTTAACATTACTAATCCAACCGAAATCAGACCAATGACCGCCTAAATCCCCATTAAATATGAGATCTCGATGCGACCATTTTAAATTCGATTACATTTCTAAAGAAGAATTAAACGGAGACAGTGCGGTTTTGTTTATTAACGTAATAAATGATATCATTCGAGCTTACGAGGCAGGAAATCTGGGAGAATATACTGATTTCATTCAACACAAATTCAATAACTTCGACATGAAAAAAAATCTGACAGAAAAATCGGAAGAAGAAAGACTTACCAGCAGCAACAAAACAAGGTCAATCACATGTTGCTTTTGGAAGCTCATCACGTTGCGTTGAATTTATTCAAGAAGGGTTTATAGAAGACAATTCCAACGAAAGAACGAGACTAATTTTTAGAAGTGCTCAACAAACAGAACCCAAAGATGCTATTTTAGTTACTGGTTTCAATAGCCTAATCATGCAACGTAAACACATAGGTACCCTGGTTGAGTTCTTGCAGGCTGGAGACCGTGGTAGCATCGTTATTCCTCCACGGTTTTACGACGTTGATTGGTTCGAATTTATTTTAAACGCTGTTCCGGGCGTAAGCACTAAAGTACACCTATCGACTCGAGTTTAGTTACGATAATGGTGACGGACGTAAATCTGAAATAGCGGTTGGGGTGGGAAGTCTCCAGGTTGCTCAATTTACAAAAAGGTAGGCTAGTTCCAAACGTTATATAGGCCGTATGAGAGAAAAATAAACTTAAATCCTGTCAATGAGCTGTGGATCCGCTGTCGAGAGTTAACCACCACCGACAACTACCGTAACAGTTAAGCTCCAGACTTCTTGTGTTGCGTTTTAACAGGAGGTGACGCAGTCAGAAAGTCACGAAGTGCCGAATGGGTGCTGAGCAATATGCTTCAAACACTTTAAAGCGAAAAGATTTTCGGTGAGAAACAATAGAGAAAACTCATTAACAAGAAAGACGCTGGAGTTTTGATCGAGGTAGAAATTTCATAGGTTTTTTAAAGCTTATAATAAGAAAGAAACCATGACTGAAGTAAAAAAAAAATAATCGAGCGCCATAGGGTAGGGTTTTACGTAGAATAAGGAGTCGAAACCTTGGGTGTGGCAAGCGCAGCTCTAGGCATACCAGCCATGTTGGGTGTTTTGAGCGCACCCGTGGATTAGTGATAAGGGATTGCCCTCGGTACGTTTGGTGCATACGCTTTGTTAAAGTACGCCAGTAAACGATTGCTTAGCAAGTCTAAAAAACACGACCAGATGAGTGTGCTAACCGATGCCAACCTAAACACGATAAACAAATATATATCCCAGGCCATTAACAACGGAGACATCTACCACGAAGAATATGTTAATTACGTCAGCGCTTAGAAAATTTAACGAACTCCAAGAAAAAAATTAGAGCGCGAACGAGTACAAAACTTCGAAGGGATAAAAACAATCAAGAAATCGAAGAACGAGCAAAAATTATCGCGAGAGAAACGTTTTACAAGGAAAGAAAAGGTCTCCTGACAAAACTTGGCAACAAAACTTGGCAAATCAGAATAAGAATCCCTACGGGATTTATATTAAGTTACAATAAAAATGCCCAGCGAATCCTGGAGGATGCGAAACGAACCCGCCAAAATATCAACCCATTTATTCTAGCATTCCTCCTTTACCCTGTGTCATAAAAAATAAAAACATTATAATTAGGCTGCAGCAAGAATTAAAATATTATAATGACGCTCCAGCGACAACCAAATATGCACTATGCATTTCTTTAATTAAAAAAAAATTATAATGAGGCCGCAGCGAGAAGCTTATTTCTTTTGATAGAGACATACTGCAATTCTGTTCATTGTAACATCCTCTCCTTTAAAACTCATTTTCTCACAAATATTTTAGCCGTTTTCACAGTTTTACGAATGATAGTTGAAAAATAAGAATTAAACCGCAAATAAGGATTTTTTTATCCGTGACGAAAAAATAAAATCAGGCACCGAGTTTTGCGATTGTAGTTACCTTGTTCCAGCACCAGTTTTCACAAACAGTTAGACACGGGGTTCAGAATGAAATATACCCAGCAAGAAATGAGACCGAGGGGTACCCCCCAACATGTCCAACCCCTATACNGGGGGTTCTCTCCGTCTCATACTTGCTGCATATGTATAGAATGAAAAGGAAGCAGTATCTCGCTTGGTTAATTCCAGCTGTGTCAGGGCCGTTTTTTGGCTGGTTGCTGGTCAGGTTTTATTCCAGATGGTATTTATATCTCTCCACACAAAGGCCGTGTCATGGTCGTTGGTTCGGGTTTTATGTTCGTGTGTTTGTTTGTGGGTTTGTTAGTGATGCGAGAGAGCCGACAGGTGGACTGAAGGGTTTTGATGCCTTGTGTCTGTAGATTTAAGGGCCTAAATTTTATTTCTGTGGAGGCTGCCGGGCCAACAAGGCTAAAGGGTGCGACTGAGAGAACCAACAGGCAGATGGGTGCAAGGGAGCCTGAAGGGCGAGAAGGATAGAGGGGACTTGAAATGTTGATAAAACATGAACAAGAGAGCAAAAGAGTGTTTTTTAATATTGAAAAATGTTGCTGGGTAGGTATACATGGGTCTTTTTTAATTTTTTTAAATTTTTTTGTGGTGGAGCTCAGGTATTACAGTCTTACAGTATAAAGTATTACAATATACTCGTCATCCTTGGGTAAGAATACCTCCACTTCATATTCTGTGTCAGATGACGAAGTGTCATCTTCGGAAGGCTCAGAATCCTCTCGAGCAGGAGGACTAGAAAATTCAACTAAAGAGATAGGAACAAGTTTAAGTTCTGAAGAATTAACAGTCTTCTGACTATCAGAGCCATCTGCTAATTCGATTTGGTGTAAATGTAGGAGTCATCAGAATGGTGACGTGTGACTGTATAAATATTGGAAAAATGGTGGCCCTGAATCTGGCTTCTACCTTTATGATGTTGTCGAAGGTAGACAAGGTCTCCTACTTTAAAGGTGTTAGGATTAGCTCTGCCGTCAAAGTGTTTCTTACGCTTTGCTAATTCTTGCTTTTGTCGTCTCGACAGTCCCCGGTTTGACTGAAAGTGTTGGACACTGACCTATGACATTGGAAGAAGAAGTTGCTTCAAACATGAGAACTACTATAAGAGGGGTCTGTAACTCTCCTCTCTTCCAAAGGACCCTGGTCGGAGAGAGGAGGTAGTTCTCTGATCAGGATTGAGTCTTCACAGATTTCCTCAGTTCCTCGACGATCGGATGGTATCATGTGTCTCAAGTTCAGCCTCCTTTGGAAACACTTTTCTGTTGTGTGTCCTGTTTTATGACAAATGTGTATGTCATAGTTGTTTGACGTTTGCCTTTGAGTGTGGACTGAGCTTTGAAAGTTGTTGGACAAGACCAGTTAACTCATCAGGTTTTTTTTTGTTGATGATCAATTTGTTCTTGTTGTTTGACCATTATAGGAGTGATCCGATACTCGGTTCTTCCTTGGCAAACCGTCTACTAATGGCTACAGCATGGAAAAGAGGAGGAAGCTTCAGTTCTCAAGGCAAAGAATTCAATGTCTGGGGATTCATGAAGCTTGC